CGGAGCACTGGGTTTGGACGATCTTCGGGTTTCCTTGCTTGCGGCTGGCAGTGCATCACGGCCACTTTGCTGATTTCGAAGTTTGAATTGTGATCTTTGGCCCAGTTGAAGCCGCCTTCCCTTCTCTCCATAAAGCTCTTGAGCGCTCGTGTTGTTTCCTTGAACGTTCTTGCAGTAGCTACCACCAGGGTGTCGTCCACGTAACCGATGGCATCCTCGTTCAGCCGTCGTAAGGCCTCCAATAGGTCTGCGTTGTAGATGATGTAAAGTAGCATAGAGATCGGGTCGCCTTGTCCAATGCCGTTTGTGATTTCGATAAACTCTGAAATGAAATCGTCAAACTTCAGCTTAGTCTTACGTCCTTTCAGCAGCCGCTCGATAAACTTGACATAGACAGTTGGTATTCTTCGCTTCTTGAGGTTGTGTATGAGCCTGTCGGTGACTGCATTTGGGAAAGCCCCCTCTACATCCAGGAAGAGGACCGATGCGACCTTCTTTTTCCCCCAAGCTGACTTGATCTTTCCTACCAGGTAGTGAATGGCATCCGTCGTGGTTCGGCCTGGTCGTCCCCCAAAGTGCGTGTCTGGAAGCAGGGCATCCTTTTCTACCATGTGGGAGATGTTCTCTGCAACAATCACTGTTAGTACCTTGGGTATCGTGCAGAGCAAGGCTATCGGACGGTAAGCTTTTGGAATCTCATAGCACGGTTTACCTGGTTTCCGGAGTACCGCCATGGTGAACACCTGCCATCCCGGGCAGTAAGTGTTCAGCGCAAAAATGCCTCTGAAAAGATGGGTTAGGTAGTCGATCAGTTGCTCCAAGCACTTCTGCAGGACCACGTTAGGTATCTCATCTGGGCCGCATGCCTTGAAAGACGATAACCTCCTTATTTGTCGCATGATTTGCTCTGGGGTGATGAGTGGCGGTGGTGGAAGTGGTTCTGGGTACTCGTGGTTCTCTGGGACCCTGGAAAGCTCGGGCTTCTAGGGGAAGAAGTTCTGTGCCAGAACCTTCGCCTTGCCTTCATTAGTGTTGATTTCCTGCAGGAGGCCGCTCCCCCCTTCGATGGGTACTTTGAGTGTCGGTATGCGTGTCTTGCCTCCATCACCTATGGGCTCCTTGAAGTATTGATTTGCCGTCCACAGATCCTGTTCGGCTGCATTTTCCAGGAAATCCTCCCAGTGCTGGCGCTTGGCTTCTATGATGGCCTCCCCATACTCGTTCCTGGCTTTCCGTAACTCTGTGTGCGAGATGTGATCTGGAAGCGCCCGGAATCTATATGCAAGTCGACTTAGCTTTTTCATCATTGTCTTCTTCTGGCTGAGGCCGTTGTTCCACCATCTCTTAGAAAATGGGCACGGCTTGTTTTCTGGGACCCTGGTGCGGATGACGTCTTGTATAGCTTCTGTAAGGTCCGTTGCGGCTTCTTGGAATTGTTGCCTTGTTGTGAGTGGCTGTGGAGGCGGGATGTCAAGTAGTCGAATGGCCAAGTTCTCTTGGAAGTCCTCCCAGTCCGTGGTCCTGAAGTTGTATGATGTTTTGAAGTTGATACACTCTTGTGGCAGGTCGAAGTAGGTTGCTATCGGGAAGTGGTCAGTCACTGGTGGCCTGATCGAGGGGTCGACCTCGCATCGGATTAGCAGGTCGTAAATCTCTTCTGTGCACCAGAAGTTGTCGGGGCGCGAGTACTTCTTGGTAACTTGATGCTCTAGTGTTGGTTGCCCTTTTGGTAGGGCCATCTTCATGTTGAGGTCTGCAAGCAATTCAATTAGTTTACTTGCGTCGTCTAGGGCTCTTGGCATAAAGAGCCTGTCGTCCGTGTCGTCGTCCCACATTGGATGATGTCTGTTGAAGTCACCGGCCCATATCAGGTGGTCGTCCTCCCTTGACAGAACTTCCGCGCGGTTTGTGCGTAAGAACTCGCAGACCACGTGTAGTGTTCTTGAGTGATTGCAGTCGTTATAGGTGTTGATGATGGTTAGTCGTCCATAGGCACCAGCCATTTGTATTGTGATGGTGTCGTTGGTTCCTGGCATGTTGAGTATCTTCCAAGAACTGGTCGTGAGGTCCGAACTGACCCAGGTCACTGCTCTTGTCATTAGCACCTCGTCCTTGTATCGGTCCACTGGGGCCACTGCGACAAAGCCATTTGGCATCCTGATGTTGCCCAAAATTGTCACGTGCAGCTCC